ATTCTGTTTGCCGTGTGGAACCTGGGTCTGATTAGTGAGATACAAAAGTCTTCAGCTAAAGAAGTCTGATTTTTGCTGGTGAAAACAGGCTGCTTTCTTTCTGTCATGAACGCTGACTTCATGAAGTCTGTGTGGGGTCTTTTTTATGTACAATTTGGGTAGTAGTTTGTAAAATATCCTACATGCAGGGACTTACAGGTACATACAGTATGGGGACATTCAACTGGTCCACATATGGTTAAGATCTTTTCTTTGAGTCGGGGTTAGGTTAAGAACTAAGGTGTGAATTCAGTTTAGGTTAGGGTAAGGTATATGTTGCTAATAGTTAGGGTAAGGGTCTAGGTTAGGCCATGTAAAATCAATGCAATTCAATGAAATTTCCCCATATGGCTTGAAAACAAAGCTGGGTGTGTGGGTGCGTATGTGAATAATCATGTGAGTGACTGTGCATGGGTTGGTCTTCTCTTTTCCCCATTTGTCCTGAGAGGTAATTGTCTGATTGGTTAAAACTTTACTATCTAAGCAAATCTAGCTAATTGCATCAAGTCATTGATTTTGCAGGATTTGCTACTCCTGGATGAGCGTATAGCAAGTATATTAACTTGCATTGTTTTGTTGACTATGGAAAAATCCCCTGCACTAAGTAAGCTTGCTGTGACAGTGGAGAGGAAAATCTCTCTTTTAACAGGAAGAAACCGCTAGCAGAACCAGGCTCAGTGTGAGTGGCCTTCTGTCGAGACCATAAATGAAAGAAGCCAGAAGCAGTGATTCATAAACACTTTCTATGTTAGAAAATGTAACAGTTATCTAGCTCTGTAGGGGGCTCTGTCTAGGAAAGAAGCAGCTAAGCAGATGAGATCTGAGGCAGTTTTCATGTCAAAAGGGATGAAAGAGAGCACATGCAGATGTTTACGGTAAAAACTAACCTCATATGTCTTGGAGGAAAATAGGAGTAAGCACTAAAAAACAGGCCAAACTCGATCATCAATAATCAGATGTGAGAATTGCAGCAGCACAGCTGATATTCTCCACCAGGACAGTGCCCCAGCCACACAGACCCAGACCAGATGTAGCTACTATGGCAAGAAAAAGCAGCGATAACATAAAGTTAGAACTTTAACCAATGAATAATGCAGTAGAATGAGACAGAATGATAAAAACCCGTCCCTGTGTGCTCTGGCAGCCTAAGCCTAAAGCAGCATTAAAGAGAAGGATCAGTAAAACCTCAGCCACTTCAACTTAAAGCTTAATCTGAAAGGAACATTTTAACATTAGCCTTAAAATCAGTCTGGGTGTATGCCTCACCGACTAAAACTGGTAGTTTGTTCCAGAGGAGAGAATCTTGATAATTAAAATATTTGCCTCTCATTCCGCTATGGAAATTACATTTTGGACGTGCTAAAAGTGTCAAATGCAGTTTGTGGACTTCCTTAAGAATTACAATTGTCCACTGGACAAGATATTTTTATTGTATGCAGTATGTTGGACATGAAAAAAGGAAATAGTTGAGACCTCATCATTAAAAGACCTAATTAACAGTCCTGAAAAAATAAAAAACACGGGTTCTTTATGTTATTATCTGAGACCAATTGAATCCCATTCAGATTAAGTGACTGAAAAATGAGCTTTGTTTTCAAACTCTCTGGTCCAACTGCAACTACTGTTTTGTATGCATTCAAAAGCAGATAGTTTAGTCATCCAGATTTGCATGTCTACATAATCAGTCAATATCTTTAGGATTTATAGAAAACTATAGTAAAGATGGGTGTCGTCAACACAACAGTGGAAATTATTCCCACCCTGTCTGATACCCAGTAAAATCATATAGTAAAAAGAATTGGCCCTAGCCAATGTACCTGTGATACTCTGCAGCTTGAAGGAGATATATCATTAACATGAACAAACTTGAGCCTGTGCAGTTACATTAATCCCTACAGCAGGTTCAAGCCTTTCTAAAAGAATATAGTGATTCACTGTATCAAATTTAGCACTGAGATTTTACAGGACAAATACAGATACAAGTCCATTATCTAAGGCCATGATGATACTATTAATGACTATTATCGGTGCTATTTCAATGTTATGATGAGCTCTAAAACCAGATTCAAAACTCTGACTAAAAGTTAATTATGGGTTATATCAGACATTTGATTAGGATAATTTTCTCAAATTTTTTAATTAGGAAGAAAGACAGTGGCGTTGGATGTAACGGTGGCGTTGCCCTGAAATCGAAGGATTGACAGTTCAAGCCCCGACTCTAACTTTCAGTGTCGTTGTGTCCTTGGGCAAGACACTTCACCTGCATTGTCTACTGATGGTGGTCAGAGGGCCCGGTGGCGCCAGTGTACGGCAGCCCTGCTTCTGTCAGTGAGCCCCAGGGCAGCTGTGGCTACAATGTAGCTTGCCACCATCAGTGTGTGAGTGAATGGGTGAATGAATGTAGTGTGAAGTGCTTTGGTCAAGTCTCCTGACTTGAATAAAGGCGCTATATAAGTACATGCCATTTACCATTTATATATGTAGGTCTGTAACTGATCAAGTCATGTGGATCAAGATAAGGTCTCCTAAGTAAAGGTGGAATAACATACCTTAAAGGAGTTTTTTTCCTTTTCATTAACAGGAACATATAGTCATTAGATGTGTTGACTCATTTAACTGTTTTTATTAACCTTTCTCCATTCATTTATTTTGATCATGCATGTTATGGAATTGTGCTTTCTAATAAATACATGTATTTGTGAGGAATCTTTATACTTATACATTAATTTACAATAGATGGATTCATGTAATGTTTGCTGGGGTGGTCCAATTACTTAAAGGGAAATAAGCAGTTATACAATTAACATTTAAAAGTAATCCTATGGTGGGACAGAAATGTGTATGAGTGTAGACAAAAATACTATGTTTTATTCATAGCTCTTCTTCTTCTGTGATCAATTAAATTCTGTTCAGTTTATTCACAACACATGTCATCTCAAGGCACTTTACAGTTCACCAGATCATACAGTAAATTGATTCAAAGTTTTCTATCTAAGCATAGAAAAACGCTTAACCAAAAGCGAGCACCAAAATAAGGCCTACTAAAGCAGAATTTTGAAATAAACCAGTTAATGAAATTTTTTTTCTTAACACTAACATGAGACAGGAAGAATGACCAAGATTGTTTACAGTGTCCAGGATGCAGAATTCATAGAAACAGAAGAGGAAGGTAGGTATTCGCTGCTTCAATATCTTTGCTTCCGTACTATTGCATATTTCCACAAGATGTCAGCAGAGATAAAGAAAATATTCCAAGCTAAAATAGATTGTAGTCCTAAGGCCTGGAAAAGCTTCAATTTACAGAAACCAGATCCTGCTGCAACACCAGAATACAAGGCGATGTAAAAATAACTACATCATAGATCATATTTGTCTCTCAATTATTTAAAAATTTGGTTACATTCATTAACAGAAAGGTTTACCTTGATGCTGAATCACTGAGTTTTTCACCTATAGGCTCAAAGCTAAAAAGCTGTTGACCAGGTTTTGGCTGACTTGTTTGTTCAACTTAACAAACACTTAGTGCTTAGAGCCAAAGATATATTAAGTGTGAGCTGCAGCCTCCTTATTCAAGGGCAAGCTGGCTCATGTTAGAATTTGTCAATATTCCGCATTTACACCTTGTAAAAGAACACTGTGACAGCATAACTGAAACATCTCATTGAAAAACTTGAATGAGCTGAAAATAACAATTTAAACGCACAAACGTGCAGCAAATTAAAAGGGAACATGACAGTAAAATCAACTGCTTTACTATTTTTGTATTACAACCACATTTGTTTTATTGAGATTTTCTCTGATTTGCCAACACAAAGTAGTGCACTATAAAAAATGAGAATGTTTTGTATATGATATCATATAATCTACTGATGCCCAACCCTCTACTTTTAGTAACTAAGCAGTTCTGAGAGCAATAGTCACAAAAACAGCTAAGAGGCCCTATGGATCACTGGAGGGGCTGCAGAGTTTCACAAACCTTACAGTAAGTACAGTGGAACAAACTCTTAACAGGACAGCTATCAGTCACTATCCAAAACATCTGGTCTTCATGGAAGAGTGAAAAAATAAAGATATTATTGAAAGAATAAAAAAAAAAAACTTTACTGAATTGTTCCACCATGGGACAATAAAGGTATTTCCCTAGCTCCTTCTTTAGATCAGGAACTACTTTGCAATTGCCTGACTGCAGAAAAAAATATATAATAATAATAATAATAATAATAATAATAATAATAATAATAATAATAATAATAATAATAATAATAATAATAATAATAATAGAGGTTTCTGATTTTACAGCAACAGATATGCAAAAGTATGCAAGAGTATATAAACAGTAGGAAGGTATACTTAAATCCATTCCTGTTATGTTTTTTTTTTTATATAAATAAGTGTCGGTTTTTTTCTAAAAAAGAAGCCTGTTTATATGCATATTTTCATAATAAAAGAGACGGTTGATTTTTGTAATTAGTTAATTGTAAATTTGGAGATTCTAAATGATATCCCTCCTCTGCTGTTTGTCCCACATGTGAAAGTGGGTGTGAGATCCCAAGCGTGCTGCTGTCCTCATTGGCTGCCGGGGGAGCGGCGCTGCTGTGTGTATTTTAGACCGTTGGAGCGATTCTTACTGTGGTCTGCAGAAGTCTCGAAAAGCGTCAAGTCAATATTATACAGGTAGAGCACCACCGGAAGTGTATTACTGTCAAAATAAGAGCACGCACTGGAAACATCCGTCTGTAACCACAGTAAAAACTTCTCACTCACCACAAAGATTATGCAAATACCTGCAGGTTAACTATGTTAACTTTGTTTTGCTTAAATCAGTTCTACTAATCGTTTCTAAATAGTGTGCGTCTGCACATTGGGGGTTTATTTTGAAGGTGTTCAGCCCCGGTTCTGAACACAACTGTGCGCACTTTGATGCTGCAATGACTAACAGGAGCGACTCTGTGGAGTGCACCAACTGGTTTGCTCGGCAGGTCGCTGGTGCTGCAGCTGCTGGAACATCTACAGCTATAACGGAGGAGAAGTAACTCATTGAAAAGGAATAACGCGGCTTTTGGCTGCAGGCGTTCACACTTAAAGAGAGGAACCAAGTCCTTCGTCCATGGCCAGTCCGGCTGCAGATTTTGGACAGTCTCATCAGCATCCCCCTGTCACACAGTCGGCCGCCGACTCTGCGTTTCTGGAGGCGCAGAAATGGATAGAGGTAAGTTTGGATCATGTTTTCTTTAAGCACAGGTGTTTGTTTATATACAGTAACCTTAGTCACTGTTCTGTAATTCATCTCTTTTTTGAACTACATGACGTTTTATAGTTTCTTCACCTGTTGAAACTAGAAAAAAACCCAATATATTACAAATAAATTCCTACACAGATTACCTATTGTTTCAAGCATTGCCTTATATCAGTATAATATAAATCCTTATATTATCCTTTAAACATTTAATATAAGCACCGGTTCATTATACTCTCCTAAGACTTGCAGAATGGGCCCAGTTATTTCTGTTATTCAGTGGCTGTTGCATGGTGCATGCTCCCTGAAAACAATGAATGCATCATGTGGAATGGATTTTTGCCCCATTGCAAGCCTGGTCAACAGTGTTCTCACACAAGCAAGGTTTTGTTTAGAGAGAATTTCAATCACTGCACTTGTCAACCTCCATTGCTTTTGAGTGTCATCATGCTTTCAGCTGCCCTCTTGTCAAAGCACAGCTAACCATCTAATCATCTGCCTCTAATGTGGACAACTTCTTGTAAGGTTGCATCCTTTTTGTATAAATAAGATTCAAACAATCTAAATTGCAGTAGTGGAGATCTCCTAAACCTATATATATATATATATTTTTGTAAGTTATTTTTATTTATGATAATGCAGAGCAGAAGCTTTCTGAAGATGTTTGACTATCTGAAGATGGTTGTTATTCTCTGTTGGTGAAGCCTTTAGGCCGTAAAACCTGTTCTACTGTTTTTGGTTATGTTGTCTAATGCAGGGAGATTGCACCATAGGATACTTATTGATTGAGCACATAAAATACATCCTTACCAGTTGAAACCTCCTCCAAGTAAAACACAAATCCTGGAAAAATACAGAAATATTACATAAATAAACATTTGAAGCTTTTTATATGGGAAATCAATGCTTTATTCTCTACTAGAAATATACTTATTAGGTTATTTATTTTTTGACTCATATTTTGGCAGCTCCTAATTTCTTCCATAAGGAGTAAAAATATGTCAATATGAGTATCAGTATGAATATGTCTCATATTTCTTCTTATATATGTTTGTACAACATAGCATCTTTTATTGCCTTCACTGAAAGACCAATGAACATGTCAGGCGTCTTTGCCGGCCTATTTCGCAGCTTCAAACTCCTTGGAGGACTATGTCACATCTTTAAAAAGCCACCATTGACCTAGAATTTGTGAGGCTTTGAGCAGAGGAGTGGAAGTGAACTGAAACTGCTTCTTTGTTGTTCCCCTCTCAGCTTTCTCTCTTGGGGCCTGACTTGATTATCCCCTCACACCAGTTGACTGTCGCTTGCTCCTGATAAAGCTCATAAATTCAAATCTTCATTCAACATCTTTACATCCACTTATATTTAGCTGCTGCTTCAGGTAAAATGTCAGCATCAGATAGAAGGTTATACATGGAGAAGAAATCAAAAGATACACAGAAGAGTTGAGGCTGGCTTGATCTCCTCACCAGTTTACTGATATTTAAAGCTAAGTTTTTCCTTTGCCTTATTTGAAGGCTCTTTAACTAAAAATTTGAATGTTGGCCTATCCATATTGCATGCAGAGTGGAATATGCTGAAGAAGATTCTCAGTCATCCAGGTCATAGTCATTCCAAAAAAGTAAAAAAAAAAACAATTCACTGGACTTTGTTTCCAAGTTTGAAGACGTTTTGCTTCCCATCCAGGAAGGGTTTTCAATTCAAAATGTCAGAATAAGTGTTGAGTTATAAGCTTTATATAGTAAGCTTTATATAGTAGCCTAAAAGCAAGTTTTTGGGCTACTATATAAACTTCAAACACTAATTCTGACCTTTTTAATTGAAAAAGCTTCAGTCCAGTGGATTTTTTTTTAAACTGTTTTGGAAGGACATGCAAAGTGGAAATACAGTAAATGCTCACATAGTGTGGATTTGTCAGAGAGAGAAAAACGGAATTACTCCCTTAAGTTATTTTGGAGATGGTTCATGCTAACTAAATATGGCTAACTTCTCTTTCCACTATTTTTACGAGTCTTATTTCGGCAGGTGGTCTCACCCTAATTAGTTTGAATGCTAAAATTATTTATATTACACTAGTGGGTTGTGTGTTTATTAATAGTAGGACATGGTGGTAAATGAGTGTGTCCTGATTTTTTTGGATTTATCTTGCATTAAAGAAATGGAAAGTACATTTTCGCAGATGTTTGTTTTAAGAATACAAGAGTGTAGGGGCTCTGTAATACTTTGGTCAGTGCAATGGAAACCATTGAAATCTGCCATTCATACCAACCTAATCTTGACATGTATACCTTCTACCTAAGTACTGCTGTATGCCACAGGCAAGCCTTTATGGAAACAGTATTCTCAATGGCTGTGACCTCTTTCCACAGGATAATACTCCTGCAACAAGGCAAAATATTTTAGGAATACTTTAAACCAACACTCATAAAATATTTCATAACCTTTGTTATTATAAGTCGACTTAAAACTAGCTGAATGAGACCTCTGTCATAGCCTGAGGGGGTCTGTATGTCTTTCACCAACACTAAGCAACTTAGAGTAGGGTGGCAGTAACCCTGCTATGCAAAACAACCACAAATGCACAGACTGCTTTCTTATTTTCAATATCATCATATGATATTGTTTCCCCACAGATAAATTCATTATCTCATCACTAGTCATTCTTTCACACAGTGTCTTGAAACAGAAATGTAGTTCAATCCAACTGCAGGGGACCGGGAGATCAGGTTTTTTCTATGCAATGCGCTGCTGCTCATGGGAAATGGGGTCTTCCTTCAGGCAAAACAATACAGCTTTTGTCCACCGTGGGGAGCCAAAAGCGACCAAAATTGAAAGTTATTTTGTACTGCTTTAAGCAACATAAGGTTAAATTGTAGGTGTTCAGTTGTCGCTCCAGATTCCAACTATGCCAAGGAATGTTACTACCAAAAGGACTTAAAGGATCTTATCATGGGCTGCTTTGGTAGCAAACGGGCAACCGACACTGGGTTCATGATGTCATACCCAGTTTTGTTTAATCCATTAAGCACATCTTCAGCATCTTATTTTTACAGATGAGGCGAATATTGTTATATATGTACATAAAGAAAAAATGCCAACTTCAAATTCCCATATTTTGACTTAAGATATGCTCCAGCAACAAGATTCAGACAAAAGGAATCCAGCAGGATTCTTTGAAACAATCCAGAACTTCAGCGAAGAATTGACACCTGCAATTATGACTTCTTTGATAGGTGTCTTTTCTCACTGTCATGTCAGCAACATGTCACTAATGATGGTGCTGTAGTTCCTCTGAACTTCAGAAGAGTCTGCCTGGCCGTTTGATGAGAGAAAAAGCCCACACTTTGTTAGGTTGAATGATTTGCGTTGTAGAGCCACAGGGCGTTTTGTATAAAGGGAATTCTTGATGACACCATCTAACTGTGTCTTCTTCTCTCTGAAACATCAGTATTTTGATCAATTATCTCTCTTCTAACTGGTGGTTTAGGGCAGTTCTACCTCCAGCAGTAATAAGAAATTATAACTGCAGGGGTGAACAAATGACAGGTTGTGTCATTTCAACAGTTGCTTTGTTCTCACTGAATTCAAGACATATGTATTGTAAGATGTTCAACTGAAATTCTTGAACAAATTAGAATAACCTAAAACTTAAAGACGAAATCAGAAATAATGCTTTTACATAATAGTAACTTCCTTATTTTACAGAGGGCTTATTAAATCAGCTGACAAGTCTTTGACATGTTTACAGAGAGTTAATCTGCAAAACAGTACATTTCAGTCATTTCTTTTTCAAATAGCTTTTATGAACACATTTCAGTGATTATTCTGTAGACTTAAGTAAATTGCTGTATTAAATGGATTATCAGCATCAACAATGTCTTTCTGATGTAGCTGTTTAGCTGTGTTATCTATGGCATTCTAGTATAAATGATGCTTCTTTTTACAATGTATTTTGTCCAGAGCTTTTGTAAGCTTTTTGTGTTTTCTTTTAAAGTAATGACAGATTTAGAGATTTTGAATAAATATGAAATGACCTGAATAAAAAAAGGGATGCTATTGACTTGATAATGTTTCTGTTCTGAGCAGACAGGGAAGCAGACTGATCAGTGTTATAAAGTTTCTGTTCAGCGTTGTTATTACCCTGATTGATACCTTATTTTTCATCTGGCTTTTGAAGTATGTACATATTATTTTACCTTTCCGACTATGATTGCCTTTGATGTAGGTCCAAGTGCCAGCGTCTTTCCTACAAAACAGATAGAACACACTAGATGTAGATCCAGCTATCAACCCAATGCAGACTTGCTCTGATGAAAAAACAACTTGTGAAATGACATTTTGCCAGTCTTAGCTGGACTGTATCTGTTTTTACATGTTATATTGTTAAATTCTACTGAGGTTTTCTTGTCATGTGGTGAAAAAGCTGTGTTCTGCTTCTGGATTCATGCCTTTGGCTAAAGAGTCTTTGCTTATTGTAAGTGGATTTTAATCTAATCTTTTGTTTTATATAAGATTGCCTGTGTCTGTCACAAGATCTGCAAACCAGATCTTGTGACAGAAACAGTCTGTGCTGTTTGGGAACAGCTTGTGCGAATCAAAGTGGTTGCTTTCAAAAAGTGCACATCCTTCTGGAGATTCAGAGAAACTTAACTAACTTTCAGTATTTAAAGGATGCCTATGTCAATAAGTGTTTCAATGCTCTTTGTAACATGGACAGGGGGACATAATTCAAGTATATCAAATATCATAAAATATCTCATTCTGGATTCTTCTTCTTGATCTTGATTCGGCCCTACCACTTACTGAACCATCAAAGACTATAATATATATGGCATAGTATGGATCTGTGAACAAACCAGTGTGGCTTCTGCTGACATCAGCACTCTTTAGTGTTGACACTGTTACTGAAGGAATAAGATAAGGCAGTTCTATTTGTCTCTGATGCCTTAATAGTTACCTCAGAGGAGGAA